TCGGGTAGGACCACAAGGGCGGCAAAGCTCTCCCTTGAGTTTTAACACTGCTGCATATAACAACTTATTTTTGATTTCCTTGTATTTTGTATACATATTATATTATAATATCATGTGTATATTTTATTAATATGAGGAATAATTGACAGTATACGAAAACAAAGTCTAATACGAATAACATAAAAATCAAAATAATAACAAAGCTACTCTAATTGGGAGTACCACCACTCCCGAAACTCGAATACTAGTCAAATCGAAGTCATATAAGGATCCCGACCCCCCTGCATGCTCGAACCTTGTCTCACACGGGCCATGCCACCCGACTCGAGCTAAAATCTCATACTACAAACAACGTAAGTTGTCTTCTCTTTACATTGTGTAAATCGTTGCAATGATTATATATATTTAATTTTTTGTATAATTGTATATGCATATATTGAGTTGTGGTCGCTTAATGATTAAACATGTATAAGCATTAATGTCGATAAATGAATTAGTGACTTCTTAGAGTTTATTCCATCGATAGAGTTTTAAATTGTTGGATCACACACATACCCGAGCAGACGTGTGCTGATCTCTTGGATCCGAAACTACTATATCGGTAGGATGAAATTCACATTTTTAAGATTTTTTTTTTGGAGACTCTTGATTATTGATTTTGTAATACATAAGTAAATGACTCAAAAACAAAAAAAACCTAGAATTAATGGCAAAATATATTGGAAAGGTTAATTGCACGTGCTAATAATAATTCAACTAGTAGAAATTCATCTACTATCTAGCCAATGTCCATGATTTTTGTTTTTTGTATTATATTTATCATTAGACTTTTTCCACCTACCAGCTTGCCTAAACAATTTGTAGCAGTCAACGGGGCGAAGGGTAGTGCGAAAATAATCAATGAAAACGACAATCATATCTTGTAGTCCTACCGGGCTCGATTCCGGATTAGTCGGTTCTCCTGTGGATCCAGAAACCGGAAGGTCCCTGTACCAAAAAAAAAAAAACGACAATCATATAATTTTATTTTATTTTATTTTTAATAAGAAAAAGATTCTGTGAACTTCTAATTAATTATGAGGTCTTTTATACTGTATGATGTTTGATTTATTTTTTTTTTCTTTCAGAATTATAATATTATTTTAAAAATATATATAAGGTCTCTATATTCTCATTACATCTATTGGGAATTAATGACACCCACTACTTATTTTTCTAAACACTTTACATTAACAACCTCATAAATAATTAACACAATATTACCTCTTTAGATTTCAATTATACCTTTTTTTTTTTTTGGTATAATAAAGGAGGCCTAGGCCTAACGCTAATCTAAGACGACACGCGACGTGGTCGCGCCACTCCTAAACAATCATGGTTCAGCCAATGCCCGAGATCCGGCGGTGGATCTGTGAGACGATGAAGCCCAACCTCAACCCCATAAGCTAACGAAGCCAACTTGTCGGCCGCGAAATTGCCTTCCCCTTGCGTCGCAATTGCTCGATATTCGGAATAGAGTGGATCAGTATTTGAGCAGTACGGCTTGTGTCGATGCGCTGGGCGGGAGTGAACATCGCTTTGAGGAAATAATGATTTATTGGACTCCTCCCCCGTTGAACTGGATTAAAATTAACACGGATGGCGCGTTGTGCACAACTTCTGGTAGGGGGAGTGCTGGCGGATTAGCCCGAGACTCAAATGGTCGATGGCTTGGCGGTTTTCTTATGAACGTGGGGTTTTGCTCTATCACGGGAGCGGAATTATGGGGCCTTTATCAGGGACTTCGTCTCGCGTGGGACTTGGGATCTCGAAATGTATTAGTTGAAGTGGATAATAGTAGCGTCGTGGCCATGGTCTTGGGGGCGGAGGATAATCTCGGGCTCCACGTTACAATTATTCAAGCCATTAGGGATTTGCTCAAGTTGGAGTGGTGTGTTCAATTTTTATACCTTTTTTGTGAACGTTTCTAGGTTTTCAAATATTTGACGGTTTTATTTTTTAATTAAATTTTAATTTTTGTAATCAACATATTATCCCACATTTTTTTTCTCTCGTTACGTTTCTTCTTCTTCTTCTCTTCTTATATTTTTCTTCTAACATTTTCTTCTCTCAAAACATCTCCAGCAGTCGGAGAAGCGAATTCGAGCGGAGTCTTCCTCATCGTCCGTTGTCGGAAAACGCAGACCGTCTAGAGATTTTTCTGTCGAACCTTCACAAAACCCTCCGCCCCACACACCTAGCCACCCGTCCTCTTCACACGCCGATTGTGACTGGCCCATCTTTGTGGCGACTGATCGAGACTACAACGAGGCCTTGGAATCCAATCGGTCCATGTGTGATCCAAGGGCGACAATCCCTACTAGTAATTTGATGTTCAATTTACAATTTTGTCCTTTTTTAATGGGTTGTGTTTAATTTTCTTCAGTTGGTTGAGTGATTTTGAAGAAATTGACAATTTTGAACCTTTTTCTGTTTGTTACTGAGTTGTTATTTGAGAAAATTTTGCCCTATTTTTTTTCTCGTTTAAGAAGTTATTGCTAAATGATTTAAGAAAATTTTGAACCTTTAAGAAGTTTTTCTCACTTATGTTTGTTTGTGTACAATAATTTGTTGCTTTTATTATAATAAAGTTTCATGTGAAATTTTAAATTAAAAAAATAATAATTTATATCATGTGTTTATATAAATGAGTTGGGTATTCATGTTATATTGCAAATATGTAGTTATTCTTACGTTATTTCATATATGTTATTGTG